GGGGCAAGGGGGCGGATGTGGATGAGATGTTCTGCGATCACGCACAGTCGAATCACCCCACGCCACTGCGAAATACTGCAACCTTTGTCGAGAATTCACCCGCCGAGAATGGCGAGAATTTCCGAGACAAACCCGGCCGTACCCTGATAGAAATCTCAGTTCCATTAGACCTGGCCCGCCTGTGTTTTCCTCACATCTCCTCCATTTCGCTCCTTCTACCGGCGCCTTTCGTCAGGATTACATTCCCTCCGCGTCAACCGCCTGCCTCAACGACCTCGTGCGCACGGACGGTTTCCGTACTGCTGGGTGCTTTGTGGGGTTGGGAGCCGGGGTTCGACCCAGAGAGGAGACCATGGCCGCAAGGACAAGCGTATGAAAGGTGTGTCTGACCGAGCAGCCTTGCGACCGATTCCATCTCTCTTTTTTTTTTTTAGGCGTTGCATCTTTTTTTTTGTCTTCGTCCACGCTACACGCCGTGACGCACGCCACGCCTCCACCACGTAAAGCAGAGGCGGCGGGAATCGGACACCACAGGTGCGTAAGGGGCAAAAGAAGAGGCTTATCAACATTCGAATGCCATGTCTCCTTCTCTTCTCAATTTTTGTCTCCGCATATTTGGCCGCTTCGGCGGCCACCGAGATCGACGAAGTGCCGCACAGGAGGTCGAGAGGAAGGAGAAGCCGCGGTGGGCCGACTACGAGGATGATACAAGTACGTATACAAACAGACTGACAAACAGACAGACAAAGGGAAACAGACAGAGGGAAACAGACAGAGGGAAACAGACAGAGGGAAACAGACAGAGGGAAACAGACAGAGGAAACAGACAAAGGGAAACATAGAGACCTTACACGCAATGTACCTGTGAGATATTTTTCTGTGAGTGTTGTGTGTGTGCAGGTCGGCTCGGTCCCTTCCTCCTTGGCCACTATGTGGTGTTGGGCGTGTCGCCCTTTGCGAGTAGGGAGGAGATCAAGGCGGCGTACAAGAAAGCAGCCTTCTGGGTACGCGGAGCGATGCATTGCATGCTGGAGGGATGATGTGAGCCGTGCGTATGCATCGGTCGGTGTGTTGTATTGCAATGGGTGTGCTGTCATTAATTGCATTCGATGCAGGCTCATCCTGATAGGGGTTTCTTGAAGGACGGCTACATGTTTGATTACATCAAGCAGGCCAGGGATGTCCTCCTGGACGAGGAGAGGCGGCGGGAATACGACGAGGAGCTGGTAAGTAAGTGGGCACCGTTAGTCAGTTAAGTACACGACCTGTGTCCATTCAGCTTTTTGGTCTGGCGTGTCTGCGTATGCTGTGTGGTCGTGATTGATGCATCCGTCCTGCAGGGCGTGTGTGAGGAGTACCACCACAAGGCCATCTTCTTGTGGCGGAGAGAGGTCACCGAGGGCATGCCGGTAAGTGCAGACTGCCTCAAATCAGTAAAGGAATGACACATACACCCGTACACATACGCACCATACATCCATTCTTCTCCACATATCTGTCTGTCTGTCTGTCTTTGTCTGCCGACATTCATGCAGGCGGTAGTCAAGAATTGGTTCCTGAAGGAGGACCAAGAGATCCCAGCCGCCGTGCTGGAAGCCGCCGCTGCTGCGGCCGAGATACCCACCCCGCCCCTGTCGCCCGCCCTCCCCGCGCCCCTCTACGACGGCGACCACGACCAGCAGGAGCCCTCACACCCACCCAGCTCCCCCCTCTCCCTCCCAGGGCCCGCCGTGTCACCGTCGGCCTCCCCCGGCCCCACACACCACCCACAGCACCAGCACCAGCCGCACAGCAGCACGCCCCCACCGATGCCCCTTCGCACTGCCACCTCACCCAAGGTCACAGCCCACAACCCCGGTGGACCAGCCGCCGCACCCTCCACACCCACACTCAAGACCAACACACAGCAGCAGACACACACCGGCAACGGCGAGACCGCTGCGCCCGTCCCTTCTGCCGGGTCAGATGACCTCCCCGTGTGTGGCGCCGGTCGCACTGCCACAGAAGCCCGCGAGCCCCCACACCCACACCAGCCGCCACATAGTGTTACCCCCCACCTACGCCGCCGTCCACACACACTCGATGGCGTACGGGCCGCCCAGCTGGCCGCCCACCACCACACACACGGTGCCCTCCCCCTCCCTCCCCCTCCTGGAGGTGCCGGTCGCTGTGGGGTGGGGGCGAGGACGGCTTGTATGTGAGCAAGCTGACTAAGTGGGAGGTGGCCTACTGGCAGAGGCAGGGGAACTCGTGGCTGGTCAGTTGGGAGGGGCGTGACGAGGAGGATGGGTGCTGCTGTGTAGAGATGGCGAGGCGGGTGGTGAGGGGGGCCCGGATGGGCTATGCATATGCATGTGACGCGGGGCACCAGGCGGCGGCCTTCATCAAGGGCCTACTTGCCTAAGTTAGCTGCTGTTGTCGTGATTGAGCGAGAGAAGGATGCTGCCGCTCCTATGAGTGAGAAGAAGGGGAAAGAGAGTCGCCGCACACACAACACACACACAGTTCGTCTAGTCAGTGTGCGTGTCTCAGGAGGGGCTGGGGGTTGGGGGTTTGAGCTTCATTGCTGTCTGCCTTTTATATCCTGACGTATCTGTCTGGCCACAATCCGCTTGACCAATTTATTCCAGTCACGGATCCTGCATTGATGTCTCTTAAACAGAACTACTGAAGGTCACTTCACTGCGCCCGACCCTGACCCCCATCGCATCGCCAAAACTCTCTCTCCTTGCCATCCCACGAGAAACCTCTGTCACTTTGCCATCCACGAACACTGCCGCCTGCCGACCTTCATGACAACCGGGGGGTATCTCACGGCAAGGGCATCCTCACCGATGTGGGCGAAGTCCACACTCGCTTGTTTCAGCAGCACGACTTGGTCACACAGGAGACAGTCGCTTTTGTCGCAGCGCTGCGTCTTGCGCGTGAAGATGTTCCAGCCGAATGAAGGCCCGCAGTAGGCTCCCAGGGCAGCACACACCACCCCGCCCACTTCAACGGTGTCTTCATGGCCCTCCAACTCGATCGTGTAGACGAAATCCACTGGCTGTGTCTCCACCCGCCAAAGACCGTCGGCCACCAACTGCATGCAGTCAAAGAGAGACAGAGACATGGACAACCATGCGCACACACACACACATGTGTGGCTTTGGTCTCATGCACCTCTTCAGGTCGACGCCATTGCTCTTGGTCCCATACGGGGTGCCCGGTGGTCACACCTCCACCACTCGGCCCCCTCCAGTAGCTGTCCACGCGTCCTCCAGGCACCGGGCATTTCCACACCTTGGTGACACGACGGTAGGCCGCTTGACAGCCGAACGAGCCGCTGATGGGAGGCGACGATGGACTCTGCCCTGTGGCGATGAATTCTCCCTCCTTCAATGACGAGAAAGGAATTCGGAGGCCGTCCTGAGTGCGGACCTGCAGATGAACGAGGAGGTGTTTGGTTGCGTGTGCATCTTCTGGAGCTTAGTGACCACTGCCTTTGGTAGAAAGCAGCTGCAACAGCGACAGCAGCGGTCCTCGTCGCACTTGCATGTAGAAGGCAGCTTCCCGCACTTGGCACAACCACATGTGCCGCACCACCTGAGAACACGCGCAAAAGATTATCATACAGAAGCCCCCTCATTTCTTCTGTCTGTCTCCTGGAGACCACTCACCACATGAGTTTGCCGCGATGGTCAGGGCCAGGCATCTCCCGTCTCTGTCTGTCGACCTTCCTGCCGCACTGACACACGCTGCCCTCACAGCCGCAAGCGAGCGCCAACCCCCCTGGTATCTCCTCTCGCACCAGCAGCTGGCGGCATTCAGGACACTCACAGCCGCAGTAGGCAATAGTGCCGCCAACTTGCCATTCGTCTCGACGGAGAGTACGATACTGAATGGGACACAAGGGAACATTTCACTGTGTGTACACTCCTTCCCATACAACCGACCCCGCAGAGACCGCACGGTCGTTTGCAGCGACTGCAGCCGCACCGGGGGGTCTTGGTTATCAAACCATCAGGCCCTCTGTAGACGAGGCGGACATTAGATCTCGGGCAGCTCTGACCCATCTCACCTCGTCCGCTGTCTTGTCGTAACTTTGCACCCGAGAGCTTCGCAGGTCGCTGACGGCTCGGCTACGTAGTCCCAAATGCGCACCATGACATCCACAGGCAACGACATTAGACCCTGGACAGGCTCGCCACTGCCCTCATTCAGCATTCTGGCCGCAGACTTCTGACACTTGAGGAACGTCTGAACAACGGGCAGAAAGAAGCGGGTGTGCCAGGTGCACAGGGGGCCTTGGCCAATGTCTCACCGTCATTTCGAGTACGGGCGATGAATGCGCAGCGACCCAGTCCACGTAGTCGCGACGTCTCTCGTATTCGCTTCGAGTGACACCCACCTCACCAATCGGAGGCGCCTTGACACTCCCACCGGCTCCCTTGTGTCCACTCCCAGTCGATGTTCCCCTCAATGCCCCCTTTGCCTTGCCTCGTCTTGTCGGCGGCGTACGGCCTTCCTTCTGCCACTCGATCAGCAGATTTGCGGCACCATTGACGTCAAAATCAGTAGCTTCGAGGGCCTGGAGGCTTGTGCCTCGGTCATGGAAGCCCATGGCGTCCAGCTGGGCCACCTCGTCTCTCTTTGGCACTGCGGTCTCTCGTTTGTTGTGCTTGCGGATGAGCTGGGTGATGAGCTCGGCGGGAGAGTTGCCGCAGTGCTTGGTCCAGAGAGAGGTCGAGAGGGCGTGCTTGGCGGGGATGGAACCGGCGTCGTCAGCAGTGAAGGGGCGATGACCTGCAGACAGACATCCCAATAGCATAGTGCACACATGACAGGAATGGCCGTGTCTCGCACACCTATGTTTGTTTTGAACATTTTCTGGCAATCATCGGCGTAGCTTGTCGGGTGCAGCAAGTGTGTGTGCCACAGCCAGTCAATTTCTAGCGTTGGCGTCACGTCCGAACCATACCTGTGGCACAAACAGGCCGGCGAAAGTGAATCCATTCCTGAAAGTGGCCCTGCCTGCCCTCCTGTGCTCACTTGTGGGTCAGCTGCAGATACTTGAGATACAGCTCATGCAGCCCCTCCATCAGCCAACCGATGTCCGGGCAGTCCTTCGCCACATCGCTGGTCACGTGTCCTCTTATGTTGGTGATGCCACACTTATCGAAGTTCGTGAGAAGGTCGTCAAAGAAGGCCCAGTCCTTGGCGAGGGCTTCGGTGGCCAGAATGCCCATGAGCTGCAGAGTAGAGAGAGAGAACATTGGTGAGCTGTGTACTGATCCGTACGTCCCACCTCATCTGTGATGACTTTCTGCAGTCCTTCCGCGATACTGCGGCACTCTGCAGGCGCAAAATGACAGAGAAACTTGAAGTCGCAGCAAAAGCGTCGCTACGTCCTTTTGTCTGCTTGCCGGCATTGTCGAGCTTCCGGTTGGCGTCGTCATCGTCCCCCTCCCCTCCCCCAGGCAAATCGTGTTCGAACGCGTGTGAGATCACCTTGCCCGTCAGCTTCAAGCAATGATAGGCGTACTTGCCAGGCCGCAACATGTGGCTCTGCCACACCAGCCACACGTCCCTGGGAGGGGTGAATGAAGCCCCACCGCCTCTCGCCAGCAGGAAGCGTATATATCGCTGGACCAGCTGATGGCTGCTGCCTGAGCTCTGGGCTCTGATGATTTCCTTGACTGTCTTGTCCAGACCGCTCTTGTACCATCGGCAGAGGTATCTCCACGCCTCCTTCTCGACGTCAACCCCCAGTTTCATCCCCTCAGTTGTGAGAGCCTCAACAGGGGGAGCCTTGGAAGAGGTTGAGGGGGGGTGTTTTCTTGTGGGGTTCGGCCTCCTGTCGCTTGACGACGAGCTCCTGGCATTGCTCTTGGCCATCTTTCTGTCCTGTCAGGGGAGCCGCGATTCGGCGATCCTACTAGCGATTGGCCAGGGCAGCGGCCAGCGTCTCACCATCGCGTTGACTGGTGCCTTGTGGCCGTGTATCGTCGATGTTGCGTGACCATGTGGCTTGTGCCATGGTCGAGCACCATGAACAGTTCACAGGCCAGGCGCCCAGACTGAGGAGAGGAGAAGAAAAGTGCACACCCATGCATTGCATCGAATGCGTTGCCATCTTGCAGCAACCATCCATCCACATAAGTACAAAGACAACTCATAAAAGCTCCACACAGACTAACATGAGCTCACGAGGCCAGGCTGAGCCCCTGTCTCATCTCGTGCAGCACTTTCCGATCCGCTTCTCCGAGAACACACTCGCCCCTCTCCTCGAGAACCTTCAGGTGGCCCTCGCACTCCCTCACAAACACCACAATCTCCTCTCGTGAAGGCGGGAACACACGCGGGGCAAGCGGATCTTGCCACTCACAGAGCTCTCGTGGCGTGTCGGCTAATGCGTCGTGGCGTTGCTGTTCATTCTCCATTGCGCGATAGGCCGACCTCGCGATGAAGAAAAGAGACCGGCAGGTGTGGGGGTGGGGCTGCGCCGGGTAGAGGGTGCGGCAGATGCCCAAGGCCGACTCGTAGGCCTCGTACCCGCCCTTGTAGTCGCCTTGTTGCTCGCGAGCCTGCACAACAACACAGAAGAAGTAAAATGTTGACCCACTCACCCCTGGGTCACGACCTTTCCTAGGTTGGTGACGATCGGTATGAGCGACTGAGGCCGCAACCCATCGCCTCCGCGCTGTCTCCTCTCATGGCACGCCAAACATTCCTCCAGAAGCCTCACGGCCTCGCCAGACCCCTCACCCTCTCCATCTCGCTCATCTTTCTGAACCAGTGCAGCCGCCAAATTGCCTCGGATAGAGCACGTCTTATGGTGGTCATGGCCAAGAGAGGCCTCTGCGATGGTCAGGGCCTGCCGCGCCGCGTCGATTGCCTCGTCGCCTCGGCCCATTTTGGCGTAGAGTATGGACATGTTGGTGTGGGTGAAGGCCAGTCGGTGGTCGTGTTCGGGCAGCTGGTGCGCGCGGATGGCCAGACACCGACTGAAGGCAGACAGGGCGGGGTCGTCATATGTGCGCAGGTATTGTGTCGGTGGGAGTTCACTCACTCGTATAGGGTCTCTGCCTTCTCGAGCTCGCCCAGCTCTTCGCAGATGGCCGCCAGGTTGTGAATGGATGCAGCAACCAACAGGTCGTCCTCGCCGAGAAGCGCCTCCCGGATCGATGCCGACTCTAGGATATACCTGAAGCAAAACAATGAGGACAAGAATCGCTGAGAGGTACGTTTTGCTTGCTGCAGGCCGGCTCACTCACCCTTTCGCCTCTCTGAGTCGGCCCGTGTTGCAGCAGAGGATGGCCAGATTGGAGAGAACTGCGGCGGCGTCGAGGTGCTGAAGCCCCGTGTGGCGGAGACGCATCCGCAGACACTGGCGGAACAGACGCTCTGCTGAAGGGTAGTCCACACGCACCTGCACTCGATCAGACACGCAAACATCGGGTATGAGGAGAGGGGCAGGCATGGCTGCCAGAACGTACGTCGGTGTAGAACGTCGCGAGGTTCATGATGGCGTTGGCAAGCACCTTGGAGTCAGGAGCGCCACTTGCGAAGACGTCCACAGCGGTCCGGAAGAGCCCCTCAGCAGTTGAGGAGTCACCCTGACAGACAACAGATGACTGTCGGCCTCTCTAGCTGTCGATATGTGTCGTGCTGTGCTGACCTCCATCACTTTGACTCGGCCCATCTGTGCGGTTATTTCGCCCCTGATGAGCAGACACGCGCCGCTCTGTTCTGCCTTCTGCTGGTCGAAGGCCACGGTGGCAAGCAGCCGTGAGGCGTGCATCAACAGATGCTCGGCGTGCACGAAGCGACCCAGCTCTCGCGACGCAACGGCAACATCCAGCAGCATGTCACACACAGCCTGCACGGAACAACAGAGGAATCCATCGATGCAGAGATGACGCCATCAAGTTGCACTGACCTGCACGTCTGTTGGGTGGTCAGTCCACCACTTGCGACCTCCAACATGAGGTCTCGGACCCACCGGCGGCCGGGGCAGCATGCTCTGGCCGTTCTTGTCCCACTTGTCTCCTCCCCCCACCATAGCCCTCTCGATCATGCGCACCATCGACAAGACTGACAAATGCACCATGGTAGCTGACGGCCCGCCCGTCTTGTCGAGCCCAGCGGCGCTCTGCTGCACCATCTTGTGCAGGCTCTGCATCTCCTCTGCGATCACCTCTGGGTCAACCGCCATGCTCTCGGCCGACACCGGCGCATCGTACTCAGGCGACACGAGGGAAGTGTTGAGTGAGGGGGACGGGGGTGACGAGGGGATGGCTGTGGTCGTCGAGTCGAGCAGCACAGGCACGAACCCGTCCATGTCTGTCGTCTCCTGCCTGTCCATCGGCCTGTTGTGGATAAAAGGGGCTGGCTGTGGCTTGGAGGGCGGGGAAGCGGTGGGGTGCTGCAAGGAGACAAGGGCTGTCAGGGCCGACTCGGACAGCGCCACATACGCAGCCGAGGACGAACGATGAAGGAACACAGGACGCCCCGCCTGAGGGGGACTCACAACACACATTCGTTAGATACAGCAGAGTCCACTACCGGTGTGCTAGCGGTACCTGTACGATGAGCAGGAAGACCGCCGGGTGTATCCTCTCCGCCCACCGCACCACCTCATCCACACAAACCCTTTCCTCATCATACCCCCGCACAGCCCCGTCAGCCGTCATGCCACCCATCCCGCCACCCTCTTTCACACGCTCAAGCCGATCGCTGGCGTCCAAAAGCACCCCCGCATACCACCCGATGAGACGCACCATCCCCCGCCGCGTATCGATGTCGATGGATGGAGGCGACGCTGCCTGCTGCAGCCTCACGATGGACGGTAGGGTGTAGAGCTGACAGTGGCGGGTGAGCAGGTGCGCTCGCTGCAGAGTGGCGAGAACCGGGGAAACGGCCGTCGGATGAGAGCCCAACATGGCACTCGCTGCATTGAGTGAGAAGGGCCCGGGGAGCATCGACAGAAGTCGCAGGGCTCGATGTGCCGCTGATGGGAGGCCGTCCACTGCCGGGCCGAGGAGCCGATCGAACAGGTCACCCTCCCAGTGATTGTTGAGGGATGGAGGCGCGAGGGCGACGGGGGCGAGGGATGAAGAACGAAAGTCGCCTGAGGTAGTAAAGAAATGGAGCAATTGGGATTGTTCATATTTGCGTCGAGTACGTCCTTCACCTAGCCTGTTGCCAGCCATCCGCAACGCCGCCGGCAACCCTCCACACAGATCTGCACCAGCACATAAACAAACAGAGACGAGAAGAATTTGGACCTGTCATCGCTTCCCTCCCTCCCCCCTGAGTGCCCGCCCCACTCACCAGCCAGCTGCTCAGCCATCTCCTGATTGGCGGAGGAGGCCTGCTTGAGCAAGAACTGGACAGAAATGGTCCTCGACAGCCCCCTGATTTCGATGGTCTCCGTCTCTTCTGCAAAGGATGGGTGGCTGGGGATGGCCTGGCGAGCAGTGATGATCATTGTGACCCTCGGCGCCGTGCGGATGAGCCTTGACAGCCATTCGAGCAGAGATGGGCCGCTGTGGGAGAGAAGGGCGTCGACTGACAGCAAAAAACACACACACAACGTCGATGCCTGCATTCGTCACATGCAGGCAGGTCGGTTGTCACCTTGGTCGAAGACCAGCAGCCGGTGGCCATTGACATGCGGCACAGGATGGTGCGCCCCGCCATCCACACCATCACCATCCACCACCCTGACCTTGAGTGCCCGCTCGAGAGTGGATGTGACGCATTCCATGTCCCGGCATCCTTCCAGGGCCACCCAAGCCACGCCATCAGCGTAGTGGGACCGACATCCGACGTAGTGTGCAGCAGCGGCCGCAACGGTGGATTTGCCCACCCCAGTGACGCCCATCAGCCAGACGGCCCGAACACGACGCAGCGCCCTGACCACCTGGAGGAAGAATAGAAGCGTTAGGTGGCGCATGCGGACATACAAGCCAAGCCCTGTGTGGACCTCTCTCTCTTACGCACGTTCCAGACGTTTCTCTCGCTGCCCATGTAGCCATCATGGGGCAGAGGAGGGAGGTCGATGGGCGGGTAGGGGGACGTCCTAATGCAATGCACACATGGAACGATAGATGTGAGTGACCTGATGTGAGTGTATTTCAGTCCCTGCGTACGTGTCATTGATGCGGTCGGTGAGCTGTGGTGGCCGCCTCCTGCGGTCGACAAGCAGAGGCCGCAGCGGTGCCCTGTCGTCGTCAGCGTCCAAGTCGGTGGCAGCACTGAAGGTGAAGATCTGGGCGTGGGGGGCCTTGTCTTGGGCAGATTCCGCCGCCTCCTCCACTGTGCCGCCTTCCTGGGATGGATCAAATAACCGACACACAAAGACACACACGATTGCTCATGGTGTGTATAGGTGTCCTATGGGTACGCACCATGAGAGTTGTGTAAAGTGCCCTCAGCGCCTCATCGCTGCCGTTGCCATCCTCTCCCTCCAGCTCGACGGCTACCACTCCTGGGGGACTCACTGACGCATCTGACCTCACCAGCGCGTCGAAGCTGCACCAAGCACACACTCACACACACCGCCCCTTACATATTCGACCCCTCATGCACTTGGTCGCTAAATGGCTTTGGCGTACATTTTGGTGCCGGCGTCCTGGGCATCTGAGGTGACGAGGACAACGCAGTCGCACCGCCACACCGATGCTGCCGTGTCTTCAGCAGGCTGGTGGCTGCGATGCAGCAGCTCGGCGACGCAAGACGGAGCAATAGGCACGCCAGATCCTGTGTCCGAGAACCGCGACACACGAGTACAGCAATGAGTGGCGGCATGCGTTGCATCGTGTGACCTGAGTGATCCTCCAGGATGAGGTGGCCGTCCTCCGATGCTGGCCCCGTGTGGTGCCATACTCGACACCCACGCACCACAGCGGTTCCGATATCCTCCACAGTGCCCTGCGTATAGCAGACCGCAAGTGTGTCGATCTCCCTGGCCTCCCTCCCTCCCTCGCTGCATACCAGAGCCCTCTTGATTGCCAGCAGGCCCCTCTGCGTGGAGCCCCTCAGTGTCTGCACCACAGACTCCTCCGCATGATGGATGGCACCCGCTAAGGTGCAGGGCATGAGGGTGATGGAGCGGTCCGCATGCCGATCAGCGGCGCTGTCCTGCATCATGAGAGGCGCCGAACGTGTCAGGACGACATCCATGGCCCCTTCTCTTCTGCTGCCGCGGCGCATGGTTGTGGCTGCGTCGCCCTTCTGGATGGCTCGGATGCGCCATGAAGGCGGGAGGGATGGCGATGACGAGTCGAGTGCAGCTCGAGCAGCGAAGAACTGCTGGTGGTCCTCCAGTCCCATATCGGTCAAGTCGGCGGCTGTCAGGTCCATCTATGGCATGACCACAGCAGCCGAGAGATAGATCTGCCTTCGGGAGTGCATGTCTGGCTGTTTCGAGGCGTACCAATATATCTCCGCGTATGTGGTTCTCTCTGAATGCAGCAACGTAGTCGACTGACAGTCCATTCCACCGCAGCCATTCTTCCGTGTCCTCGGACGACCTGATCAAACAGACAAATGAGATGAATGGCATCCACCGATGACTACGAATGCTGCTGACCATTCAGAGCAAACGGACATCCCTGCTTTGCTTCTCTTGCCACGCGACGAAACGCGAGCTAGAGGAAGACCATCACGCTCGAAAAACGAAGCGAATCTACATGCGGTCAGTGTCCTGCGTTGCGTCTGCCATCGGGATAGGCAATTTGCGGTGCAAACCGATGCGAAATGACTCTGTCACCCTGGCCGGCCAACATCGCTCCTGGCCGGATCGCGGCCTATTTGCTGCCGACTTTGAGCTTTGAGCTTCTTTTTGTCGCGACTGCCTCATGCGCTTCTAGCCGACGGTGCCTGCGTCTGCTCACTTAGCTTGTTCTTGGCGAGAGATCTGCTCAAGATCTGCCATCAATGGCGCCTCACGCCACCTCTGCTGATTCATCATCTCTCAGTCCGCCTGTGCGGGTTGTGATAGTTGGCAATGGGCCGGTTGGCCACAGGTTCCTTGAGGATGTGCTGGAGCTGGACAGCGAGAAGAGGTTTCAGCTGACATCCATCTGTGAAGAGAAACGGCACGCATACAATCGTAAGCAGACAAGGGCAGGGCAGATCATAGGTCTACCAAGACAATCCCTGTGCTGCCTGTGTGTGTGTGTGTGTGTGTGTGTGCGTAGGCGTGCAGCTTACGTCATATTTCAAGCATCACGACCCAGATCAGCTGTCCCTTTGCGGCTCTTCTTGGTTCGGCGAGCACAATGTGGCCTTCCACATCAGCTGCCGCGCCGTCAAGGTCAACCGTGAGGCCCACACCGTCGAGACCAGCGACGGGCGCTATATCGCATACGACAAGCTCGTTCTCGCCACTGGATCTTACGCGTTCGTCCCTGCACTCGGAAACCTCGACCAGTGAGCACGCCCAGACCACCTCGGATGTCACACACTCCCATGTGTTGCTTGCCCTTGTTTGTGTGTTCAGGTGTGCGAAGGGTCTGTTTGTCTACCGAACGCTGGACGATACAGAGGCGATTGTCGAGTACATCAAGTCAGGGAGGGTGCGCAGGGCGGCGGCCATCGGAGGGGGGCTGCTGGGACTGGAGGCCGCCAAGGCGCTGTATGACATGCGGGTGGAGACCCACGTCATGGAACACAATCCCTACCTCATGCCCAGGCAACTCGATGCCACGGGAGGCAAGATGCTCGTCGATATGATCAAACGTAAGACGGGCAGGGAGGCAAGGCAAGCAGAGATGAAAGTGCTGTCCATCCCTGTCCGTCGTGTTGCTGTAGGGCTGGGCATCCACGTTGAGCTCAACTGGCGCACCCAGGACCTTCTCCTTGACGACGGGGGCAGTCTTCGTGGCCTGAGGCTCAAGAACAAGGCCTCTGGAGAGATGTGGGAGTTCGAGTGTGACATGCTCGTCGTTTGTGCGGGAATCAGGTCTGTCACTCTCCTCACAGAAAGGCCCTTCTTTCCATGCAAGCGATCTTCTGTTCCCTTGCAGGCCGCGCGACGAGTTGGGTCGTAACTGTGGTATCGAGTTGGGTGCGCAGGGCGGCATCAAGGTGGACGACCACATGCGGACCAGTGACCCCGACATCTATGCCATCGGAGAGGTCGCATCACACAGGTATTCGCCGCAGCAGAGAGCAGGGTCTCTACGGCGTTGCATGACACCGCTCCTCGTGTGTCTGTTTTGTGTGTCAGGGGCAAGATGACGTATGGTTTGGTCGCGCCAGGCTGGGAAATGAGCAAGGTTCTCGTGTCGAACCTGACCGGCGTGAACCCCGATGCCGCTTACACAGGTAGAGGACGGCAGTGGCTCGATCACATATGCTGCAACACTGCTTCTGTGGTTTGTGCAGGGTCTGATTTGTCGACTAAGCTCAAGCTGCTTGGTGTCGACGTGGCGTCGTTCGGCCACTCAGATGACTTCTGGTTCAAGAACCAGTTCAAGACTGATGACGCCACAAAGGTACGCCAACACACACACCAACCAACAAGGCTCCCTATCGGCCATGTGTATCTCTCTTCGCTGTCCCGTCTGTCTGTTCTCGCGGCAGGCCGTCTCCCTCACGCAGGCGGATCCCTTCCTTGGGCACTACAAGAAGCTCGTCTTCAACCCGACAGGAGATTTCCTGCTCGGTGGCATGCTCGTGGGCGATGTGTCCGACTACACACGGCTGCTGTCGGCAGCCAAGAGGGGTCACCTCAACGGCAAGTCGCCAGCCGAGCTCATGGGCTTTGGAGGGGCGGGAGAGAAGAAGACCGATGGCGGGTGGGCCAACGGACACACACACACACAGGGAGAGAGAGAGAGGGAGAGAGAGAGTGCAATGGGGAAGGGCGAATGGACACCAGTCAGTACGATGTGGGTGAGCACTCTCTGCACTCTGTGTCAGGTTGGACGACGCTGATGTGGTGTGCACCTGTTTCGGCATCACCAAGGGCGACATCGATTCGGCAGTGAAGGACAAGGGTGTGAGCACTCTGGAGCAGCTCAAGAAGACCACCAAGTGCGGCACGGGGTGCGGCGGATGCATTGTCACCGGCCCCGTAAAGAAGATCCTTGCCGACGCCCTCAAGAAAATGGGTGCGTGGACGAGGGAGAGAGGATATTCGTGCGTCAAGATTTTACTGTGCATGTGCCACCCGTCAGGTAAGGATGCGTTCAGCGGCATCTGTTCTCACTTCCCGCTGACCAGGAAGCAGCTGTTCGACGTCGTTAAGATCAAGGGGCTCAAATCGTACAAGGAGATCTTCGACCACGTCGGCAAAGGCGACCCCAAGGTGAGTGAAACGCGAAAACAGCAACACATCAGTCGCATAAGTCATCCCATCGCTGCGATGTCCAGGGTTGCGAGACGTGCAAGCCAGCCATTGCCTCCATCCTGGCATCGCTGTGGAACGAGCACATCCTCGCGAGCAGCCGCGACGTTCTGCAGGACACCAACGACCGGTTCCTGGCCAACATCCAGCGGTCGGGCACCTACAGCGTCATCCCACGCATCCCGGGGGGAGAGATCACGCCAGCGGGCCTCCGTGTCATTGCTGATGTGGGCGTCAAGTACGGCCTGTACACCAAGATCACCGGTGGCCAGAGAATCGACCTGTTCGGGGCGGCGGTGCAGGACCTGCCGCAGATATGGGAGGAGCTCGTGGATGCGGGGTTCGAGAGCGGCCATGCATATGCCAAGTCGCTGAGGACGGTCAAGAGCTGCGTGGGGTCGACCTGGTGCCGATATGGCCAGCAGGACTCTGTCGGAATGGTAAGGGAGGGAGGGAGGGAGGGGCATGGATGGATGGGCACCCCATATCAGCAGCATTGATGGCATGGACCCTTTCTCCGTCTGTGTGCTAAAGGCCATTTTGCTCGAGAATCGGTACAAGGGTCTGCGGTCCCCACACAAGCTCAAGGGCGGCGTGAGTGGGTGCGTGAGGGAGTGTGCGGAGGCGCAGGGCAAGGACTTCGGACTCATCGCCACTGACAAAGGGTGCGTGCCTTCATCCACACTGTCGATCTCTCGTGTGTGCATCTCTCTCTCTCTCTCCGTGTGTGTGTGTGAGCAGGTACAATCTGTACGTATGTGGCAACGGCGGCGCCCGTCCTGCCCACGCGAAGCTCCTGGCGAGTGATGTGGACGAGGCCACGGCCATCAAGTACCTCGACCGCTTTCTCATGTTCTACATCTACACGGTCGGTCAGTACAGCAGATAGATGCCCACACCCACCCACCTCTCGTTCATCCCTCTACCTCTGTGTGTGGTGCTGGCCAGGCTGACCCGTTGCAGCGGACGGCGCCGTGGCTGGAGAATCTGGAGGGCGGCCTCGATCACCTCAAGCAGGTGGTCATTGACGACAAACTTGGGCTCGCCGAGGAGCTGGAACAGCGCATGGAATACGTCATGTACGTGAGCTCGGAAGATAGGGTGGACGAGAGCATCCACCCACTTGTCTGTCTATCACGCCTTCCATGCATTGATTGCAGTGATACGTACAAGTGCGAGTGGAAAGAGGTGGTCGACAATCCCAAGCTCAGGGCCCGCTTCTCGCAGTTCGCCAACACCACAGACAAGGACCAAGGTCAGCACAAAACAAACAGCCGACTTCCGTGCGAACACGTGTGCTGTCACTATCTTCAGGCATGTCCGATCAGTCCGTTCGCGGCCAGAGCTACCCCGTCCCATGGCCAGAGACGGGCCCGTGGGAGGCCGAGGTATCCAAAGACACCTCGACCGACGTCAAGCAGTGGCAGTGGACCGACGTCGGCACCGTGGACGACTTCCCCCTCAATGGAGGTCGGCATGAGCACACACAACCGCCCACGCATCGGATTGGTGTACATTGGTGGCTGGCTGTGTCAGGTGCTGCGGTGAAGGTGGGCGACACGCAGCTGGCGGTGTTTCGGGTCAGCAAGGGCGATGAGGGCGACCGGTGGTTCGCCACACAGAATATGTGCCCGCACAAACGCGCATTCGTGCTCTCCAGGGGACTCATCGGTGCGCAAGCAATCGTTGAACACATCTGCCGGACACTGTCTGTCTGTCTGTGTGAAGGTGAGCACCAGGGCGAGCCGAAGGTGGCGTGTCCCTTCCACAAGAAGACCTTCTCACTCGAGACGGGCGCGTGCCTTTCCGGCGACCCATACAAAATCGCTGCCTTCGATGTCAAGATCGACGTGAGAACAGAGATACACTGCATGTGGTCGTCAATGCAACCAGCGAACCTGTCTGTGTGCCTGTGTGCAGGGTGGTCGTGTGTCGCTACACCTGCCGCCCACACAGGAGCTCGACAAGGCGCTCGCTACATCAAGGTGCGTCAGTCAGCCAGCATACAACAAACACACGTACGTGTGCTGTCCACTTCTGTGTGTCCAGGTGGCGCGTGACGGGTGGCGAGTCCAATCCCCAGAGCGGCGGCGGGTCGCCCAAGATCCTCGATACCTTCGGCGAGGATGGCGGCAAGTGCGGCACCCAGCAGCAGCAGGAAGGGGCATGTGGGGGCAAGCTGAATTGGTGAGCTGAGCGGCTTAAGGCCTATGTGTCGAGTACGTGAGGGTACATGCGTGTGTGGGAGCCGAGAGGATCCCTTTTTCGACCCTCTCGAGCCTTCCATGCAGTAACTCAGTCAGTCAGTCAGTCAGTCGGTAGTGGTGGATCCGATCCAGGGGCAGTTTTGACGTTTTGGCGTCACATTTTGTCGCTGTAGGTCATCTATCTCTTTTTGGCGTGTACGTGTGTGGCGAGCTGGACCACAATCGTCTGGGCGTGTGTGTGTGTGTGTGTGTGCGCTTCTGTGGTGCGGTAAAGGGCCACCTTTTTGAGCCCTTCTGCCGCACTGCAGGCAGTGGACTGTGTGCGATTCTCCCTCGCACATGCGCTCTCTCCCTGTCTGTTAGGGTGCGTGTGTGTCGTCTTATATCGGAGTGCAGATACTGATGGGGAGGGGGACGGCTAGTTTCTGGACGCTCGGGACCGATTCACAAACACAGGGAAGAGTCAGAAGATCGTTCAATCGTAAAGTCAGTCACGCATCAAACATCGCGCAGGACGGAGAATCAGCGAAAACTCCTCTTGTCACACATCACACACACGCACCACATGCAATGAGTGAGTGCTAAGAGCCTCTATAAGTGGAGTAGCCGTAAGGCCCCAGTATGATGGGCACGTGATAGTGCTGCTCGGGGTACTCCACCAGGAAGGTGATGACCACCTCGGGGTAGAAACACGGCTTCCCCTGCTGCCGGAAGTAATCGGCAGTCTCAAAAGTGATTCGATAGAGACAATTTTCGAGCTGCACAAGGGACACCGCAACACAGAGAGAGAGAGCGTCATTCACGACTGTCGCCATCTCTCTGCAGAGCCTTCATCTCTCACCTTGTGGCCTTGAGTGAAGCCTGGACACCGACCTGAGAGATCATGACAGGCACAGATCTGAATGCGCCACTCACTCCGCCGGCATTTCTCTCTCACCGTCGTTGTTTGTCCTCATGGTTTTGAGCGGATGCCATTCGCCCGACGCCTCGTCCTTCTTCTCTAGCCTGATCATCAGATTTGACGCCGGCATGCCGGAGCTGGTGTCCAGCACATGGGTGGTGATGGGGCAGGGGTCCGCCATCCTCTGACGAGGGCTCAGCTGACGGGAGAGCGTCTCAAGGCGCCGTGAGGAGATCCGCCCGGACATACATAAACACACCGCTGCCACTGCAATATGGATCAGAAAGCAGCGAATGGCGTAGGTGGTGCTCCTCGACGGTCGTGTTCACTGATCTGCAATTTCCTCACCCATGGACGGGCGGCGGTTTTTGGCTCGCATTCCTTCGCGAGCTCGCTTGGAGGAGAGGAGGGGCTGTTGCCCATCACGCAGCTTTCTTCTCCGCACGCGAGGAGGGCGGAAAGAGTCCCACATATTTGTGGATAATTTGGGCTGATTCATCCATCATTTGGAGCGCCCGGCGGCCTCAGTTGGAGCGCTGCAACGTGACCAGTGCGGATGGACACGAATGGAATGCACGCACACGCCCACGACCACCACCGTCCGCCCATCTCACCTCCTCTCAACGTCCGGTTCGTGCCGCCTGGCTCACCCGCCAACCCTTCGGGCGATTGGGTGGTCAAGTGCCTGAAGACCGAGGAGGAGGGCGAGGTGCCACCGATGCAGACGGTGGTGGTCAAGCAGGAGCCGCAGGAAGACCGGGTGCAGATGGAGGGGGAGCCGTCTGTGTTCGGCCGTGGTGATGCTGGTGCTGCTCTGGGGAGTGGAGGGGTGTGTGATGGGGTCAAGGTCAAGGTAGAGGGTGACAGCTACGATGCGGACGGGCTAATGGGTATGGGTGGGAAAGGGGCGTGGGATGAATGCAGGCAGCCCATCTCTCGTCTGTCTGTGTGCTTGCAGGTGGTGAGGGCGGTGAGGCGATCCCAGCGGCCGATGACGAGCTGGACCCCCTCGACCCCCCGCCAGACCAGTGCGACGACATCAATGACTTCGGTCCTGAAGGTAGGTAAAGCAGCCAGCACACACAAAGCAACATACTGTGTCTGAGGCGAGGATGTGTGTGTGTGCGCGGTCAGTTTGGGTCAAGCACACGCACGAGAAGGGCGGCCATGCGTATCGTGAGGAGCCGGCCTGCATCAAAGCGCTTCACCTGTATGTGCTGCAAGAGTTCTTCAAAGCGCAGTTCAACGCCATCAAGGTCAGGTCATCGTGGACGTCAATCAGATGCACACACACGATGCATACACATTGTGTGTGTGTATGTGTATGTGTGTGTGTGCAGTGGCGCAGGGGCGGCGCCAGCGAGGGCGTGCTCATCCCCGACCAGAACTCCATGTTTCGCTTTCAGCTCCTGTCCAAGTAACCATATGGATAGAGGCTGCGCACCGTGTGTGTGTGGCGGTGGCGCCATCCATCAGACTCAAGATCTCGGGTTCATCGGTTTCGGCGGCTTTTTCGGCGTTTTCGGCCGGCTGGACGGTCCTGGTCCAGTACGAGAGCAACATCCGACGGGTACCACACCACGCACAGACGTACCAAAGGGCATATGCGGGTGGCCGTTGCTCGAATGTGTGCTGCCTGTCTGTCTGTCTGTCTGTCTGTGTGTCTGTGCGTGCAGGAGATGTTCATCCCCATTCACGTGGAGCCTAGCAGCAAGGGTCAAGTTGTGACGCGCCAGGACTTGGCCGACGGACTGGCCGACCTCGAGAGACTCATAGACGACTGTAGAGGGTGAGGAGGGTGGGAACCAACCACCCACGCACCCCCCACACCGCACACAAAGGGATGGATGGCTGCCTGTCTGCCTGTCTGCTTACCTGGCTGTCTGTGTTGATGCGTTTATTGCATGAGTACAGGTGGATGGAAGGTGCGATTGAGTACCCGGAGGACTACAGGCAGTGCAATGGGGTCGACGCGCGCGGGGCCCCGCAGAACTACATCAGGCGGAACAACAACATCACGCACTACACCGCCTTGGTATGCATGCCATGCAACAGGCAGGCACGACAGACATATGTGGCGACAGCAGCATACATCCATCCATCCATCCATTCATCCATTCATTGTGGGTGTGCACATCATGTGCAGGACTCGTTGGTGGTCAAGATGAGTGGTCGGGGCATCATGGAGATCGGCGCCCGCCAGCGGCGGAAGGACAGGCGTAAGGAGCTGAAGAAGGAGAAGAGACGCAAGCCTGAGCAGCAGCAACCAGAGGATGAGAACAAGAAGCGCCGCGTGAAACAAGAGGACGAGGCGGAGGTGGGGGCCAAGCACAAGCCGACAGAGGGAGGGGCAGAGGGATAGAAGGAGAGTAATACAGGGATTAGCGACTTCCCTTGTTTTCTCTCCGACTGGTTGGTTGACTTCTTCTTCGGTCCATATGAGAAGAAGCAGGCACGAGAGGGAGGGAGGGAGGGAGAAGCCAGGAGGGGACCACATATAGAGCGGCACAGTACATGGATGGACGACTGGATGGATGACATTTCCAGATTCCGCGCGCGTACGGTTGGATGGTTGAACACTTTTCCGATGTAGTCGATTTTCGAATTTTGCCTGTGTCCTCTGCGAGATCCGCATCGTTTGAGCTCGCATCTTCCGAGGAGAGGGAGGAAGAGGGGGAAGGGGTGATTCTGCTTACAGCCTTACGTGTATTGTGATTGCTCCGAGGTTCCAACTCTCGACCGGAGCCCTCGCGTTTTCTCCGCCCGATCTCTCCGCGTGAGTCACCCCCATCACTGTCCTAGATCATGCAGTCCGTGGTGATCCCGTTCGCGCGCCAGTGTCAGTCGTCCCTCGTTCGCACCGCTTTGCCGGCTGCATCGGGCGGAGTCAGCTCCCTCTACAGTGACCGCAGCTGCAGAGCGGCATGCACTACTCGTGGGTTTGCGACGGACAGGAAGGCGCCAGCACGGCAGTACTCGGCGTGCATCATCGGAGGGGGCGTTGTAGGTGAGGAGAAGCCACACATGAGGGGGGTGGGATGGAGGGCATGTGACTCGCTTTTGCTGGGTGTGTCATGTCAGGTGCATCTACGTTGTATCATCTTGGTTTGGCTGGGGTCACGGATGCAGTGCTGTTTGAGAAGGCCGAACTGACGGCAGGTAGGGGAGAGGAGTCTGGAGTGACCCTTTGGTGAGCGATGTTGATTCGTCCTTCTGTGTGTGTTGTGCGTTTGTATGGTGTAGGGTCGACCTGGCACGCAGCCGGACTAGTGACGGTAAGGGTCAACACACAAAGACGCCACTCATGGGGCGTGGTGTGCATCTGGATACGTGTCGTGTCTGTGCCCTGGTGTGTGTCGTTCGCTCAGTACTATCATGGGGGCAACAACCTCAGAAACTGGCACAAATATGGAGTGGTCAGCAGGACAGACAGACAGACAGACAAGGCAGCACTCAGCAGCAGACCTGTGGCTGAATGAGGGGCTGTCCGGTGTGTGTCTGTGTGCAGCAAATGGCCAAGAAATGGCAGAGCGAAGGCACGCCACTCGGTTTCCACGAGAGTAAGACGCTCATACTTGGTCAATGACATGGCTGCACAATGGTATTCCTTGTGTGGATCCATCAGCTGGGAGCATTCGGCTGCTGGAGGCCGGCGATAGGATGGACGAGACGCAATACCAGATGGGCAAGAGCAAGATATGGCACCAGGTCAGACAGACAGGAGAACGCTCATGCACCCCATCCATCCATCCATCCATCCATCCACCACCATGGCTCTCTTGCGGCCCTCTGCACCGTCTTGCTGTCATCAGGACCAGCACCTGATCAGCCCCGATGAGGTCAGGCGGCTCCATCCCCTGTGCAAGCTCGATGGCGTGGTGGCGGGTGTCTACAACCCCGGCGACGGCCACATCGACCCGTCCAGCTTCACCAACAAATTCGCTGAAGAGGCCAGGGCCATGGGAGGTCAGTCAAGTCACTCACTCACTCAGCCACTCACAGACACGACCACTGACATGCGAGCTATTGATGCTTCCTGCTTCGTGTGTGTGTGTGTGTGTATGTGTATGTGTTGTATCAGGTACCATTTTCAAGCATGCTGAAGTGGTGGATCTCGACCAGCTGCCCAACGGCCAGTGGGACGTCACCGTGAACTTCCTCAGCGGCAGCGGCGGGGACATCGTTGACAAACACGTCGTCAAAGCCGACTTTATCATCAATGCCGGTCGGTCCTCCAACACGAAAAACGAAACACAATTGCACACGGCGGATGGGTCACTTTCTTTCTATCTGCTGCTCAGGTGGTTTGTGGGCTGACCGAGTGGCGGACATGGCGGATGTGTACCACCCGTTGAAGCATATCCAGCACCAGTATCTCATCACCGAGAGCATCCCTGAGGTGGTTGAGTACCAGAAGACCACCGGACACCAACTGCCCGTCCTCAGAGACCTTGTTGGTGAGTCCTTGACCCAACGACAAAGATGCACAGGACAGCAAGATCCATGGATGTCTTGTCGGCTTCAGGATCGTACTACCTCCGCCAGGAGCGTGACGGCATCCTCATCGGGTACGTGCAGTGGGAGAATCTGCTTTGCTGCTGATGTCCAACCATCTGTCGTCTCTCTCCCCTTCGTGTGTCTGTCCTGTCAGTCCGTACGAGAGCAAGGAGAGCATGTGCATGGCGATGGATCGGGAATGGAAGGAGGGGCCGCCGAAGGACTTCGCGTCCGAGCTGTTCCCTGGTGACCTTGACCGGCTGCTGCCGCACATCGAGAGGGCCACCGAGCTGGTGCCGGTGGTCGAGACGGCCGGCATCAAGGCCATTGTCAACGGCCCCGTATCATGGCCACCCGACGGCAACGCTCTCCTCGGACCGGTACGCAACGCAACGCATCACAACCGCACCGAGACAGCAAAAGGCGCATGAGTCACGGTTGATTGTGTCGTGCAGGTTCCCAATAAGAAAAACTACTATGCGGCCTGTGGCTTCAGCTACGGCATCGCACACGGCCCCGGTGCCGGCAAGTACCTGGTCGACTGGATCCTGCAGGGCGAGCCGCCATACGAGGTCAGTCAGTATGCACACACAGGGTATATCACGTGCAGACAAGGGGCTGGTTGCGCATGGGCTTGTCATTGTCCTGCAGCTGTTCGAGACCGACCCCACTCGATATGGCGACTGGTAAGCAAGCCAAGGACAGAGGAGCAGTATTGTGGCCCACCTGTTGCTGTCTGTCTTTGTCCCTCCCTCCGTGTCAGGACGACGCCTGCCTTCACCGACGCCAAGATTCGCGAGACGTACGGCTTCAACAACATCATTGTCTATCCCAATGAGGAGCGCATGGCCGGGAGGCCTCTGCCCGAGCGCACCACACCCATCTACGAGGTCAGTCACGTCGACGCACAAGACAAGACACTGGAAGGCAAAATGCCTCATCTGTGTTTGTCTGTGTGTGTTGGTGCAGCGTCTGAAGAAGCAGGGTGCCCAGTTTGGTTTCCACAGCGGGTGGGAGACGCCCAACTGGTTCGACACGCAGGAGGGACACAACTACGAGCCATCCTTCCGCCGAACTAACTGGTTAAGCGAAAAGACCACACACGGCGGAAGCAGCATCAAATGCACATGCGGCGTTTTTGTTGCAGGCACGAGGCAGTCGCACGGGAAGTGCAGGGCATCAACGCCTACGCTGGTGAGAGGCGAAATGACAGAATGACACCAAGAGAAGAATGCGGCCACCCATCTTCTCTGTCGTCCGTCATTCAGGCATAGCTGACGTGAGCGCGTTTGCCAAGTTTGTCGTCGAGGGCCGCGGTGCAGCTGCCTTCCTGGACAAGGTGCTGGCCAATCGGCTGCCCAAGGAGGGCAGGGGCAACCTCAGCCACATGATCACGCCCAAGGTACTGACTGACAGTTCGACACCGTACATCCATCTAATTGATGCGCCTGCCATGCCTTCAGGGCAAGATCCACAGCGAGGTGACGTGTGTGCGTACGGGCGAGACGTCCTTCTACCTCATCTCTGGCAGCGACGCCGAGGGCCATGACCTGAGGTGGCTGCAGACACAAGCCGACCGACTCAAATGCGAAAAAGGTAAGCATGGATCCGCACCTAGACATCCGCATAATAGCTGAGGCGGCGTGTGGTGTTCTAACCATGCCTGCCTGCAGACCTGCGGATCGAGAGCGTCACGGACAATATGTGCGTCCTCGGTAAGAGCTGTGACAATCATGATGTCCTTGCACTGGTTACCACTTGCTGTATGAATGTCTGTATGCAGCTGTGGTCGGCCCCAAGTCCAGGGAGGTGTTGCAGAGTGTCGCCGACCACCCCGAGGCCTTCGACGCCGCCAACTTCAAGTTCATGCAATGCAAAGAGGACACACTCGGTGAGCACACGCACACACCCACACGCACGCCGAAACGGCATTCGACACAGCCCTACCTGTCTGTTGTATTTGCGTGCAGGTGGCGTCCCCGTCCGCGCCATTCGGGTGTCGTTCACTGGCGAGCTCGGATGGGAGCTGCACCACCTCAAGGAACACCAAGGTACACACACAGTGCACCACGACATCAGCGAGCGCCCCCACATGGCCATGTGTCCCCGTTCATCACGTCAGCTGCTTTGTACGATTTGCTCAAGAGGGATCACCCGAAGCTGGTGGACTTCGGCGCGTACGCGCAGAACTCTTTTCGGCTCGAGAAGGGCTTCAAGGTGTTCGGCAAGGACATGCTGAGGGACCACTCGCCCCTGCAGGCACGCATGGACCCCTTCATCAAGTTCGACAAGGACTTCATCGGAAAGGACGCACTGCTCCAGAAAAAGTGAGCTGAATGAGCACGTGTGAAAGCGTCAATCTGAAGATCCGTGTGTGTCTGCGGCTCTCGTGTGTGCAGGTCCAGGGGAGTTGGTGAGATGTTTGTGTACCTGGACGTGCAGGGCACCGATGCAGACAGGGTGGACTCTGTTGGCAATGAGCCCCTCTATCACAACGGTGAACTCGTGGGCTACACCACATCAGGTGCGTGTCGACCTCACAACGAACGCCCACAACAGCCAGCCATATCACGTCCCTCATCCATCTGTGCATGTCTTGCAGGTGGATACGGTCACACCCTGGGCAAGAGCATCGCGTTCGGGTACTCAAGGGTACACCAGCCCAACACCACTCTCAAGGTCGCCCTCCTAGGTACGCAAACACGCATAGTACAGCCACGAATTGTCGACTCCTTGTATGTGGCCGCTTTGGTCGTGTGCAGGGACGGAGTATGACGCGGTTGTGCGCGAGAAGCCACTGGCCGACACGCAGCCTATGCGGGAACGCAAGAAGGCCCAGGAACCTGCATGAGCGATCTATATGGGCCGGGGGTTCTGTCGCAGTGCAGTTGTATTGTATTCCTGCATTACTGCGTGGTCATGTGCAACATGCGCTGCGTACTCGCCTGCCTGCCTGCCTGCCGCATTGACGGATCGATTTGTACAGCCGGACGGACGCGTCAGCGCATCGATGCGGTCTTGTTTGTTTTGTTGTTAGCTCGTTCGCCTTACATACCTACCTGAGTGCATCGATCCATCGAATTAGCTGCGCTGCCCGCCCCTCTGCCTGTGCGTGCGCCAGCTCTGTACCATAGCTGCATCTTTGTATGCCTCACCTGACTACTGCTCTTGTAGCGTTCGTCTCTGCATGTGTCACCCCGACACTCGTGGGTCGGTCTTTTTGTCGCAGAGAGTCGCTCGTTCCTCTTGGCCTTTGTGGGGGGGGCTGTTCGTAAGTGGAGCATTGGAGGCTGCCTCGTCTCTCTCTCTAATGAGGTTGCCAGACAGAGCCACCGACAATGACCAAAAATGCAGCAGAGGCATCGGAGAATGGCGCACACGGTTTCCTGTATCTTCAGACAGTGTGTCATTTTCTGGTTGAGTTGTGAGTGCATCGAGGCGAGCAGTTGTGTCGACCTGCCGATCGCCGACATGCAGCATTTGGAAGGGGAGGAGGAGCACGCCTCCCCTGACAAGTGCTTCTTCTCGGCGATCTCCTGGTCGACACATGCTGGCACGGGCACAACACACACGATTACCGTCGCTGTACGTCTGTGCGGTTTGTACAAAGCACTTGTGTGAATAGCAGGCCTGCAGGGGGTTGCAGCACCGTGCTGTGTGTGCGTCGAGCAGTTCTGCGTCCGTCTGGCCACGTGTTCCCCCTTGCCAATGCATCATGACACCGTCGTACATGCAATGCAATGCAGCGATTGACTGACCCATTACATACATATCCACGTGTCTGCGTGAATGAATAAGTGTGTCGTCGCTTATCGATCGCCAAGCACGAGAACACCAAACAACTAAACAGACGACGCAAAACCTCCCTCACCCCACTCTTCACTGGCTCAAGAGAGGATATCTCGCGATACACTTCCAGTCCTGAATGTCAGGCCCCGTCTCGTACAGGGCTATCGCGCCAACGGTGAACTCACTCCCTCGCACCTCCTCGCTCAGGATGGCGCTCAGCTCCCCCTTGACCTCCTTCGACAGCTCGCCGTATACCAGCGACAGGTGAGGCATGTACTCATCATTCGGCCCTTTGAAGTCCACGCCCTCGTCCGTGTACAAGAGCTGCATCCGTCCATCCATCCATATCGATGAGAACAGGCAGGTTCGTTGGCGGTGCCTCGCTCGCCGTGTCCATCCCCTCCCATCTCACCTTCTTGGCGTTTTCATGCAAGGCGGTCAGCTCTTGGGTCTTGTTGATCAGGGCATAGATGCACTGAAAGAACATCTCGCCGTAGTCAACATCGGTCACGGTGAGCGTCGCACGCCGCGACGAGGCCGCCAGCCGCATGCACTTGTCTTGCAAAGCCTCCAACGAAAGATGCTTGACGCCACCGATCTGACACACAGGGAGAGGAATTCATCGCAGATAGACGCATACGGTCCCCCGCTGACCAGTGTGACGTGGGGTGAGAACTCAGGCGTGCCCAATTCGCCTGCATGTCGTTGAATGGCGTCACCAAAAGGGCTTTGTGGTGCCTGTCAGAAAATCAATCGACAGACGATGGCGCAAATTGGATAGATGATAAGTGAAGGAAAAGCTCATGGCGTGCTGGGTACCTCAAGCCAGAGGCTGAATGACATGGCGGCCCAGAGGGAGGAGAAGCGGTGCCGACGAGATGCAGAGGTGCTCAAATGCTGAAAGGCAGGCGAGATCTCTCGCATTCACCTCATGTGCGGCGTGCCTGTTCGAAAGCAACGACCGCGAACAACAGAATGCACTCAGAGATCTCTGTCCAAATGCACCTTCCGACGCTTTCGACTTGCCAAGAAAGCTCGCAAATTCCTGGCCGAACGTGAATCCTGTCCCGAAGAATCGCAGCGTCAATTAGCGTCGTGCCTATCAGCAAGCAATGGATGCAGACGATTCGCAAGATATGCTAGCGCATAGCACAGTTGTTGAGGAGCAGGAAGGTACGAAAATGAGAGCGGTGCCCATCCGTTTCAGCTGGTATCTCTATCGTTTCTTGCAGGTGGTGACGGTGAGGATGGCGTAGAAGCCGATTCGAATGCCAACGACGACCCGCTCGGCAGTCCGACATACACCGATGGTGTCGAGGCCGCCTTCCAGGTAATCACAGGATCCGCATGGCAAACACGGATGCTCATTTGTTTGGGTTTCCTGGATGGCTGCTGACTGACAGGCGATTCGGCTCCATGGCTGGTCGGGGCATTCCCATCGTAAGCATCCACAAAGAAAAGACTCGAGGAGATAGACGAGGCATCCTTTCACCTTTCACCCGTCATGGTATCTGTGTGTGCAGGATCCCGAGGTGTACATCCCCGTCTTTGCGTTGGCCAATGCCGTGTGGGACCTCCCCCCTCCCCTCCCCTCCCCACTCAGCAGCGCCGTCGTGCAGCACCACACTGAGGTGGTCATCGACTGCAGCGAGGCAAGACAGCGCCGCTTCTGGGAGCAGCTGACCCCACAGACGGCACGGGACCTCGGCAGACAGATGATCAACCTCAAATCCATCACACATCGCTACTCGCGGACAGCCGACGGCGTGGAGGGGCGTTCTCCCGGCCGCTTCTTCAGTGCACCCTGATGGTGCCGTGGGATTGTCGTCGGACTGGTGGAGGGGCATGTGGCGGGGCGGCAGGCGGCTCGCGAGAGGGAGGGCCCAGCCACCATGTTGAGCGAGGGCTCGCTCAAGTCCTTCACATTTGAGCCCGTGGCGTGCCTTCCGGTCGTCGAGGTGGAAAAGATGGAGCGGATGCAAGATACCAACTTGCAGCCCCCCGAGGCCCTCCATTCTCAATCCAGCAGCCTGCCAGCACTCGCAGAGGTCAACGGCGTCATCTCGGGCCACTTTGTCATCGCTGGGCGGATGGGCAACACCCGCTGTCGAACGGGTGTCTGCACCATACGAGACTGCCCAGGTGGCCGACATCAAGCCGTTCGTCAAGACGGCAAGGTCCCTCGTCGAGCTTTGAGCGCCTGCTGCCGCCATCGCAGCTGGCGCAGCTGATCGAGACCATTCCTCTGGGGCAGCGGGGGAGTCCAGGGCCTCTCGCGCGCCTTCGGCTCATTCCAGCCATGAAGCTCTACGGGATGGAGTCGGCTGTCATCCAGGATGGGCTGAACAGATTGCAGGTGACACAGACACAGAACGAAAGACGGGGCACAGAAGACAGAGGAGAGGGGAGGGGAGTGGAGAGGAAGGCCATCACCACATTTCTGCTTCGATTGTGCTTGTTTTAGAGGTGTTTGCTCGCTCGCGGCTGCTCGAAGTCTCTCGAGCCCCTGCGCTTCGCCTTCCATCATGACGACTGCCATTCGCTCTTCCTCAACGAGTACGAGACATTCAAGGCCCTGGGCAGGACGATTGCATCGCTGCCTACATCTTTATATCCCGATCGTAACCCTCTCAAGCAGCTGAGCCAGACAGACACACAGACAGACACACAGCCAGCACCGTGCTGCATGGCAGTGTCTCGGTCGTCTGCTGGTTGGTTGGTGCATCGCTACTCTAATTCGGAAGTGTTCATGGCTCGTGGATGGGTGCTGTTTTCAACTATATATGAGACACACACGCCTGTGTGGGTACGGGCAACATGTCACGATGCTCCGCACACGAATTATGCATCAACGAGTCGTTTTTTTCAAGCAGCGTCCCGCATGCAATGTACATCAGTAAGATGGACTGTACACAAGTCATTTGCATGAACAGCCCCCGTATCTAACAACCCAGAAAGAGACAAATTCCCACCATAGTCACTGTTTGCAGCACAATACCCCTGTCACAATCGATCGGTCTGTCTGTCCTTCTGTCTGTCTGTCTGTCTGTCGGCACGTCCACCAGTCAGAGAATAGCACGCAAGATGCTGTGGCCTTCATATCACACGTGGAAACGAGTGTGCTTGCGGCTGCCTGGCACACACACGCGCGCACATCCATGCAACGCAACAGACCGGGTGAATCTGTCCTTTCTGGCCTCCCTGTCAACCCACCTGTGGCAACGGGGTATTCCTCCTCCTCTTCCTCCTCTTCCTCCTCTTCCTCCTCTTCCTCGTCCTCCTCAAAGGATTCGTAGTCCTCGGCCATCTCCGCCTGTCGCTTCTTGTCCTCCTCCTCGCGCTCCTCCTGCTCCGCCCGCGCCGCCTCAGCTTCCTCGGCTAGCTTGCTCAGACGCTCGATCTCGCCGGAGATCTTGGCGCCCAGAGCCGCCAGCTCGGCAGCACTGCTCTCGTTGAGGCGCAGGTCGCCGTTCAGGGCGACCTGGTCAGCCAGGCGCTCATTGTCGGCCTCGAGGGCACGCATGGCCTCCTGCAGCGCCTGGACCTTGCCCTCCTGCTCGGCCATGGTAGCGTCCTGCTCCCTGACGCATGTATCGGCATGGATGAAACGACAACCAATATGAGAATGGATGGTTCGGTCGCCATTGTGTTTGTATGTGGAGAGGGGTGTACTTACTTGAGTCTCTGTTGCTGTGTGCCGATGAGCTGCTGCTGCTTGCCGATGAGCTGCTGCTGCTCCTCGAGGCCGCGGCTGGCCTGATCGAAACAAAACGACAAAGACGAAGGAATTCCCTGGTTGTCGTGATTTTGCTTTCTCCCTCCCCTGCCCCTCTCTCCCCTTGGTTGGCGATACTTACCGATTGGAGAGCAGCAACGGTCTTGAGGTACCGCAACTCCCACAAACTGGCGGACTCGATGAGGCAACTCTGCGCCTTCCACACCGAGCTCACGCTGTGCACGTCCACCCACGTAATGTTGTCTAGGGCGCTCGACTGCAGATCGGCCAGGCAGTCCTTGAGCTCCGAAAACGAAAACTCACACGCTGACATGGGAAAGCAAAACGTGTGCAGGGTTCATCGTCTCTCTGTCGGTGCGTGTCGATGGAATACGAACCATGATATGCCGTGTTGCGGGATGCGATGTCGAAGACTCCAATGATGGGCTCGCATTTGTTGTCTGCGTACTTGAACGATGTGATCTGCATGATCTGCAAACACGGAACCAAGAGCCACACACACAGCACACCACACCATCACACATGGCCCGCTCACCCATCACCCTCGCCATATGCACACATACCGTCTGGCGTCCGTCTTTGTAGGCCTTGGCCAGCCGCTCTCCGTTCTCAATGCTACGAGGTGAGCCACGCTCCTGACGTGACACAAAACACGGCAGCCGATGCACAGTGCGTGCGTATCCCTCCTCCCTTCTCCCCACCTCGACAGGTCCCAGTGTGATCTTGTCACCGACGTTGCTGGGGAACAGCACACTGAGCAGGTCTCTGTCGACGACGGCAAGCAGGATGGCGTCCTGCTTGATGTGGTAGTCCTTCAGGATCTTGGTGTGTTCCAGCTGATGGATGGATGGATGGATGGTTGGAATGCAGACGGACGTGATGTACCGGTTTGCTGTGGTAGGTGAGGCAGAGTGGAAGTGCCGCGATGGCACCGCTGCACCCGTACATGCGCAGCACGTGGCTCACCTGCACGACACCAAACACACATCCATCCGTGAGGTGAGCGGAACAATGAGTGATGCGGAATCATGGATGAGCCTGCAACGAGTGATGCACTTGTGTTCTCACCGTGGCATCTTCTTCCACGTGCAGCTCGACGGCACGAGCACCGCAGTGATCCAACACAACAAACAACCGCATGCTGCTACACTCCACCACCAATACTGTTGCGGCACCCTTCCAGTTTTCCGGACGAAAGATGCGAGCTCAGTTTTGCCCACTGTCGCCCACGGCGTCTCAAGCCTCTGTTTTGCTCCACGAACAGATGGCGCAAGCAATGACTTCCCTCGGCGAGAATTGGAGACGGGACGAGAAATTCGAGATTCGAGACAGAAATTTCGTCCCGTTTCTCACAATACCCGTCCGCTCGGCTTCTCAGCCTCATTTCGGCTACAGATGCCCCGATTCTTGTTGTTTTCATCCGCTTTTTGGCTCGTGTGGTCCGCCCCATCATCCTCTACCCATCCCAACTCGTCCGGATGAAAACCGACCCTTCCTTCCTCCGCGCCGTGCCACGAGCGAGGCCTCCGCCGGTGGCGCCCTGCCGTCTTCTGAACAGCTGGCGACTCCCCGACACCTGTCTGGCGTCAACTGAGTGCGCCGACGCCTTCCCTTGTCCTCAAAACATCCTCTCAGGTGAGTACACGTCTCATTGTCTCTGTGTTGGGTGGTGACGGTATGGCATGTGCATGATGTTCAAGGGTGACTGCACAGTCCGTTTCATTCCTGTGGTGATCTCACTGTGCCCTGTCGGCATGCTTGTGTGCAGATGATGGAATTTTGGTTCTTTCTCCTCATTGCCGTCTCTTTTTCCCGACGGAGTCCTCAACAAGTGAGTTCATGTGTGTGGTGACGTGGTGTGGTGCGCTTGTGTGCGGTGATGCGAATGACGCCTGCACATGAAATTAGGAGCCCGTCGCCTTTGGCCACACCTCACGTGTGTGGTGACTTGGCCATGGACTTGATGAGTGGTTGTCGCCTGCGGCGATGGTGGTGTGGTGTATGGATGGTGTGATCATGTCATTCCCTTGGCCAACTCTGTCTGTGTGCAGATGATGGAATTTTGAATTTTTCTCCTAATGGCCGTCTCCTTTTCTCGACGGAGTCCTCAACAGGTGAATGGAGTATTCCAACTATTCAATAAATCAGGTGTTGGGAGTGCACTTACTTTGCCTTTGCTGCTTCACAGACAACTCTTTTCATTCCTGGAAGAGAAACAGGAAGCCGGTAAGCGGAACAAACGAGAAAAGTTGAGCATATTCTGTGTGTAGCGCCGCCGTCGACGACGTCCGCGAAAGTTACCCCCCCATCGTCTCCCTCCTCACCTGTTGATCGATGCCGATCGCCTCTTCGCCTCATCGCCCCATGGCCTTCTACACTTCAATGAAATGGTAACGAAAGCCGGCCCCGACTTGTGGATGCGGATCGACGCCACGGCAACAAACACCCCCCCACCGACGGCCCTCTCCTTTTCTCCTCAATGAAAACCATCAAACCAACAAACTCCTCCGCTCCTCCACACACAGATGCATCGCATAGTTATCAAATAGAGAATGGAATACCAAAGGCAGCAAACGTGTATGTATGTGTATGTGTAGCTAGCTAGCTCTTGTTAGGTTGTTGTTTGTGAGGCTTTTGTGTGTTGTTTGTTGCAACCTTGGGGCCGGAGACAGACAGACAGACGGGCGGGCTGTCTTCCTTCCCTCGTCGTGGTATGGCGGCTTACCCAACGCGCAGGTACGCATGTAAAGACAGACAGGAGACAGAGGGCTTGTTACATCTCATATCTCTTCCACTCTTTGTCTGTCTGTCTGTCTGTCTCTGCTTGTCTCTCTGTCTGGCCTGCTCGTAGACGCAGGCGCCCAAGCCCTCCTCCTCCTCATCTCTCTCCCGATCGACGCCCATCGTCTCATCGCCCGCCCGCCTCATCGCCTTCTACGCTGCAAACAAATGGTAACGAAACCCGGCCCCGACTTGTGGACGCGCATCGACGCCACGGCAACATAGCAACAAACACCCTTCACCGACGACCTTCATTCTCCCTTGATTCGCCCTTTATCATCAAATCATCAATCCAGCGAACTCCTCCGCTCCTCCACAGACAGGCAGACAAACCCATCGCATAAACATAAACATAAAATAGAGAATGCTTAGAGTAGAGACCGACAGCATACGTGTGGATCTATGCGTACGTATGTATATGTGTGTGTCTGTTGTGTGTAGCAAGCTAGCTCCTGTTTGTTTGTTGGTTGTGAGGCTCTTGTTTGTCGTTTGTTGCGGCCGTAGACAGACAGACAGACAGGCGGGCTGTCTTCTTCCTTCCTTGCTTGCTGGTTTGGTTCGTTGGTTCGTATTAGGACAGCGGCTGAGTTACCTACCTTGGCGCAGGTACGCACGCAAGAAGAGAGAGGGAGGGTGGCGTCTTCGACTGTGTTCCTCACATCTTTTCCACTCTCTCTTTGTCTGTGTGTGTCTGTGTCTCCTGTCTCTCTGTCTGGCCTGCCGGCTCGTAGATGCAGGCAGGCCGGCCGCTATGTGTGGACGAGGCCCGCACTTTGTCGATGTGCGTGTGTGTATGTGTGTGCAGGTGTGCGTTCGACCATCGACAAGGCAATGGAGCTCTGCGAGAAAATCAATGCGGGCGGCCGGATCGAAACAGAAGGTGAGCAACTGACACACACATCCATCCATCCATCCCTCTCCCTCTCCCTCTCTCCCTCTGTGTGTGTGGGATTAGAGGGCGGCGTGGGCCCGGTCCTTCGGGCGGCGGTCCCCCTCCCCCTCCCCACAGCGGCGGGCCAGGCTACTACATCCAGGGACACTACATACATCTCGGGGTGCGGAAGGTAAGCAGGCGGGCCACGAAAGCGGGCAGATGGGCGGAAGAGATAGATCTCTGTCGGTGCGGGCGATGTGGACGTCATGTGTGCGTCCATTGGCTGGTTGCATCGTGCAGTTTGATTTGCGTGTCATAGTGCCGTTGGTGAGGAGCTCCATCTTGGTGCGGCAATGTCACCATGAGATCTCTGTCTTTGTTGCAACCCCTGCAGGACAGGGCGCACATAGCTACGACGCAGATTCTCAAGGACGTAAGACCACACGTCGCACCGACCAGCCAGCTGAGAGCCGCAGTGCGCATGTGGTGTCATGGGTCTCTCTGTGTGTGTGTGTGTGTATGTGTACTTCTGTTGAACAGGGTTATCCGGTAGGTGGGCGAACGCATCCACCCACCTATCGATCCGCCAAAGCGGCTCGCTCACATGGATTATATCCATGCATGCCATGGCAGATCGACTACGTCAACCAACCCATCGACGACCTCATCAATATTGATGGGTGGATCAAGGTGGGAAGGAGGGGTGAAGAAAGCATTTCGGTCATTGAGGCAGGCCATGGACAATGACCCGTTCTCTGTCAGCCGTATCTGAGTTTCGATAGCCGTGTAAGCAAGCCACACACACCCTACCCTACCCTACACACACATGCGATGCGCACCGCACACGACGGGTGGCTGGATGACCGCATTGTGCTGTGTGCTGTGTGTTGTGTGTGTTGTTGCAGCGCACCCAGTTCATGTATTTGCGTCCCGACGTACGTAATGGATGGACGGCCAAGAGCCAGCCAGCCACTAACCAACGCCCACCCACATACCCACACCAGTGACACCACCCACCTCAAAACAGACTGACTGCCTGACTGCCTGATGGATGGATGGATGGATGTGTGTGTGTGATGGATGGATGCGTTCAGGGGAGCCTCATTCCTGCCCCCGGGCTGCCTGGTGCGCAGATGGGAACGACAACACACACACGCCATGATGGATGGACGACACACACGTACATGCGTCCTGTGTGTGCCTTCATCAGTTGTCGGCATGTACCACCACCAGGGGGCACCCAACTCGGCTGGACACGTGAGCACCCGCCACACACACAGACACAGCTACCCGAATCTCTACACATCACACCACAGCACATATCTCTCTCGGCTCTCTGTCTGTCCGTCGGTCCGTTGGTGTCATCTGACATGCAGGGTTCGAACACTCAGGGCGGTGCTGGCGGTGCTACTGGTGGCAACGCTTCTGCCCCCGCGGCTCACGGCAACACGACTCAGGTGAACACCCGGCACACACACAGACACAGCTACCCGAATCTCTACACATCACACCACATCACATATCTCTCTCGGCTCTCTGTCTGTCCGTCGGTCCGTTGGTGTTGTCTGACATGCAGGGGTTGAACCAGCAGGCTGCCGGCACCAACACGGGTACGGGAAGGTCGCACGTCTGTATGTATGTATTTATGTATGCTGATGCTCTCCTTCACGCACACACACTGGTGTGGGATGACGTGTGGTGAATGCAGCTCCTCCGGCTGTGGCCAGTGCTGAGGGCGGCGCTGCCCCGGCCCCTCAGGACAACAAGGACGACAAGGCCGAGGTACGTGTTTGGCGCACTCACATGTGTACCCATCCATCCATCCACACTGCTGCCTGTGTGTCTGTGTGTCTGTGTGTGCTGCCGTGCGCCAGACGAAGGAGGTTCTGATCCTTTCTTCTGTTTGCGATGTATCCCAACCCTCGTTTTGCCACGCTCGATCTCGAGTACCAGGTGAGCGGCTGCCGTGGGTGGTGAAGGGAGATTCATTCCTGGCCATTGGCTCTCGTTTGCCGGCTCCCCGCAGATCGACCACCCCAACTCCGTCAGGATCCACCGCACCCTGGGCGGCACTCCCGCCGTAAGCGGCAGATCTCTCGACTGACCGGATGGATGGATGGATGGATCCATGTGTGTGTGTGTGTGTGTGTGTTTGCGGCCCCTTCTGCCGTCCCACAACCCCATAACACCGTCACATCTACAACCAGGTAGGTGGGCTCGGGGCGCCACGGCCAGAGAGATCTATGGGCAAGGAAGCGAGGAGAGGGATCTATGGGCAAGGAAGCGAGGAGAGGGAGGGAGGGAGGGAGGGAGGGACACAGCACATGGTGGGGTGGGAGGGGAGGGGAGGGCAATTCGGGATTTCACACTCCTTTTTCCTTTGTCCTTTTGGGATGGTCAGGACAGTTTCAACTCGTCTCGCGCGGCACACCAGGCGGCTCAGGGTGGTGGCGGCCGGGGGGGCCGGGGCCGGGGCCGAGGGCGTGGTGGTGGGCGCGGGCGTGGTCGCGGTGCGGTGCCCAGTGTGAGTGTGGCTGCGCCGTCTGCTCCAAGTGGTGGTGGTGGTGGTGCGTCTGCTGCGGGTGCTGGTGGTGGCGCGTCGGGTCTGAGTGCGTCAAGTGCGTCGAATGCGGCGGCTGCCGGTGCGTCTGGTGCTGGCGGCGCGAACCCTTCCCGGTTCCTTGTAGCTAACGTCTGTCTGTGAGTAAGCGTATGTTTAAATAGTAAGGCCGCCCTTCTACCGTCCGGCGAGGTCATGGCCAGTGGCGCGCGAGGGGACCAAGGCAGCCGCGGGCCAGGTGGTAACAAGGGCGGCGGCGGTGGCTGCGGCGGCGGCAACCATCGGGTAAGCGGGCACACACATCAGCCGTCCGTGGATGCTGCAACAATGAGGATGGATGGATGGATGGGTGCTGCAGATCCGGAGGACGGATGAGCCGTCAGACTCAGTGGACCAATACAAGGACGACTTCATCCGTGT